TGTTAAATAAAAATTAAATTGTAGATCAATTCAAATTGACACCGGGGATCGGAAGAAATCCTGTACCCTACAGCTTCCGTTTCGATTTCCCTTGGGAAAGGGAAACAAATGAAGTGTCAACAATATGCATCAGGTGTATATCGGACCAGTAGTCGGCTAAGCTGTCAAAACATTCACCGAGCTCGCCCAGCGCCTGCCGAATCCGGGCCCACCGAGCCCGGGCCGCACCCGCGCCTGCCGCACCCGTGCCTGCCAACTCCGCGCCTGCCGAGTCCGCGCCTCGGCAATACACCGAGCCCACGCCAGCGCGTGCCGAGTTCGCGCCTGCCGAGTCCGCGTCTGCCGAGTCCGCGCCTGCCGCGCCAACCAGGCCACCGGTCGGCGCCACAAGCTGCGGACAAACCGTCCAGACCTGTAGGTGCGCTTCGTATTACCCGAGGGCACGCATGTGTGCATTTCGTGCAAAACGCGCGCCGCGCAACCAGCGTCGCTTTCCACCAGTAGCTTTGATTCGGCGCGTGACACTCGTCGGCGATCGGCTGCCTGACGTCGATGAACTCGATGAGCGCGCGATGTACACGATGTTGACGACGACGCCGACGGCGTTGAAGACGAGCTCGGACCTGAAGGCGCTCCCGAGGCAGAAGAAGATGGCGAGCCAAACGATACCACGACGCCACCAAGCAAGCCACTCAATGGCATGTGCTTTGCTGCGTCGAACGCGTTCTGGGCCAAGATCAAGGCGAAGTTGCCTCGCTCGCAACGCACCGTAGCAACAGGCCAGCAGCAAGTGCTATCATGTAATGTATTTCCGTTTCCATCCATGCTCATGAGCTCGAACGCATCGCCTGCCGACGTTCTTCTCGCTCGGAGCTCGATCGTCGTTGTTTGCCCGATTACCTTTGCGGCGGCGTATTTGGCCGCACAACCGATCTATCGCCCGTCATGTGGCAGCAACCGCGTCTCGATGCACGGATGGAGCTACAGCTTTCAACGGGTTGTCGATCTCGACTGTACCATGCTTCTGAAGGCACGTCGCTACATCCACCTTATTGCTGCGTTGCCACCCGTGGTCCGCGAGCGCATGTATCCGTTCCAGATACGTCAGAAGACGTTCATCTCGACGGCGTTCGCACGCCAAGTGCATCGACGGTTGACGGCGCCGGCTTCGGCCAAATCGCAGGGGGTACAAGCGCTCAAGGAGGCTCGAGCCTATTACGAGCTAACGTAAATACATGTACTGCATTGTGTTTTGTAGCTAGCTCCGTTGCGTTGGTGTCGCCCAGCATGCTTGCTTCATACACCTGCTCCCATAACCTGCTCCAGTCTGCTTCGCATCGCATTAGACAGCGCCAGCACATCTAACACTATATCTGTTGTCCAATCAACGCCTGCCATGTTTGGAATTGTTTTTGGTTTCAGCCAATGAAACGCAGCGCTATCAAAATAATTGCAACGGGAGTCGAAGGTTCGCCACAAAATTCGACCGATGCGCTACAGGTCCGGTTAACATTATCCGTACAAAAAAATCGGGCGCGCGGTGGAACTGGACAGAAAAAGAAAAATCCCGACCAGCCTCTAAGGGCTTGGCCTACACACCTCCTTACCCCCAAAACCCCCTGAACCCGGCGCTGTGATGAGCATGAGTACCCTCAAACCCTCCAAACCCCGTTGGGGCAGATGTTGGCGCATTACGCACACCTTCTTTCTGGCCAATCAAAACCCACCAAAACCATGTGGACCATCTGCTCTGTGTGCAGTTACTGTAGGCTATTTGCCGACAACCCTGCGCTCGAGATACAGTGTAGTGTCTTTTTCATGGCTTCTGATTGGCTGTTGCCCGTCTCACAAGCTACTCGGAACTCTTCCTTATTAATAACACACCTCGAGAGTGCTGGTTTAATCGTAACATAAGTATGGGCGACGTACAAGATGGTTCTCACACGCATTTCCACCGTGTGAAATGCACATGATAAATAGAAACCCACCTCCTTGAAGTGGGGGTTCGTGAAGAAAACCACTCAGTTTGCATTGCGATCGGTAGCCATGAACGAGTCGACGATCAACAACAAGGCGGCCGCCCTTTGGATCTACGACACCTTCGGCTCAAAAAAAAAAGCCTTGAAATCCCTGCCTGGTGTTAAGGACGTCGTCGTGAACATCGAGGCCGACGCCAAAGGCCGGTGGACCTTCGCACCGAGCGGTGCCGTGACCGAAGCCCACACGATGGTCGCCACGACTTTGACGACCCGTTCCAACGCCTTCCCGAAGAAGGAGCGGCTCGTCATTCTCTCGCATCTCAAGGCATTTACAAGCTTGGAAATCCGACCCTTGGCCATGGCGTACGAATCCGCTTCATCATCGATGAACGCTGACCATGTATGTATCTTAGATTCACAAACCACACCAGACAAGCCGGCAAACGCAAGGAGACGGGCTTGCCGCCATTCTCGCCGGGCCCACTCGCCAAGAAACCCAAGCTTGCACATGCAGCTCAACAGTCCGAGAGCACCACGGCCCAAGAGGTTGGCCTTCTCAAATCTGTCGCCGTAACCTCAGAATGGCTTGTTTTAGGTCGTCGCACCGGCTTCGCCGACGACTTTTTTCGGCTTTGACACGCTGGCGCCGCTTGTCACGGCCCAAGAGGTTGGTCTTCTCGTCTGTCGCCGTCACCTCAGAATGGCTTGTTTTAGGTCGTCGCACCGGCTTCGCTGACGACTTTTGTCGGCTTTGACACGCTGGCGCCGCTTGTCACGGTCCA